CTCCAGTCTGGGCAACAGAGTGAGACTCCAACTCAAAAAAAAAAAAAAAAAAAGAATATAGTTATGAATATTCTGAGTAACAGTGAATTCATTTAAAACCTACCCAAGGGCTACTGTGCACCAAGCCCTTTCTCTGTACTGGGGCTACTGAGGCAGACAAGGCCAAGACCCTGCTGTTATGGAGCTGACGAGTCCCTTCAAGATGAGAAGGAGGGGAGGGAAATACATACACAGAGAGTGCCCCAAAAATGTATAAACATTTAAAGAAAGGGAACAACTGTATTAAAATTGTAATATTCGGCCAGGTATAGTGGCTCAAGCTTATAATCCCAGCACTTTGGGAGGCCGAGGTGAGAGGATTGCCTGAGCCTAGGGGTTGGAGACCAGCCTGGGCAACTCGGTGAGACCTTGTCTCTACAATAAATAAATAAAAAAAATAAGCCGGGCATGGTAGTATGTGTCTGTAGTTCCAGCTACCTGGAAGGCTGAGGCAGAAGGATCACCTGAGCCCAGTAGGTCACGGCTGCGGTGGCTGTGAGCATGACACTGCACTCCAGCCTGGGCAACAGAGTGAGACTCTAACTCAAAAAATAAATAAAATAAAATAGTAATACTCAATACTCAATAAGATGGATACAAGCCATGTTTGACTTCTGCAACTATAAGAGGTTTACCATCAGCTTAAAGTGGTTTACCATCAGTTTTCAGACACTTCTGATTAAAGTCTGTATACATTTTTTTGGTACCCCCAGTATATATACAGGATTGAAAAAATATCAGATGAGGGAAAATAAAGCAGGCTCAAGGGACAGAGAGTGACAATGAGGGGACATGGAGGGGCCACTGTAGCTGCAGCTCACGGAGGGCTGCTTGATGGAAGTGGCCTTTGAGCAGAGGCCTGTGTGCAGTGAGGGAACAGACACCAAGGTGCAACTGGCACCCTTGCCTTAGTACTGGAGATCCCAGCCTGCGTCCTGTCGAGTAATAAGCAAAACAGGCCCCAAAGGATAGCTGGCAGCAGGTGCGGCACTTGGCCAAGGCACCTCAACCCACAGGCCAATTGGGGACTGACAGCCAGTGGTGCTGGGGCAGCTGATGCCTGTGGGAAGAAGCAAACGTGTGCCCTGATGCTTTGTCTGCGTGATGGCATCACTGTGTTTCTGATATTAGAAGAGAAGAAGACCAAGAGCTTTTTCCTTTTAAAGGCTAAGTATCTTCCTACGGATCTCAAAAGGTACAGTTTCCAGATGCAGAAAGAAAGTCTTAGGTTTTTTTTTTTTTTTTTTTGAGTTGGAGTCTCACTTTGTCACCCAGACTGGAGTGCAGTGGCTGCTCCCAGCTACCGCAGCCTCGACCTGCCGGGCTCCGGCAATCCTTCCACCTCAGCCTTCCAAGTAGCTGGAACTACAGGCGCACACTACCATGCCTGGCTAATTTTTTGAATTTATTGTAGAGATGAGGTCTCGCCTGCCCAGGTGGATCTCAAACCCGCGGGCTCAGGCAGTCTACTCACCTCAGCCTCCCAAAGGCGCGGGATTATAGGCTGAGCCACTGAGCCCGGTTAGGTTTTTTCTTATCAGTCCACTTACTGGGTCATTAATATGATCACCCCAAAGCCCTGGATTCCTATTAATACTGCTGGGGAAACTGATGACAAAGCAATGGACTCAATGGCCCAAGGTCACTAAGGCTCACCTTCCCAAGGCCGGCAATCATTGGGGTGTTCTCTGTCCTGTAAGAGACAAGAGATTAAGCAACAATAAACAAGAGCCCCAGGAAAAAATTCTGTCTACATGAAAGTCATCATGTTAAAATACTAACTCACACCAACATCGTTCCTAAGCATATGCCACGTGGTTGCCTCAGTGGCAGCTGCAGGCCCCAGAAACCTCCCATGCAAAGCTTTGACTTGTCTGGGCCCAGTGTTGGTCAACATGGCCCACTATGGGTGACGTGTTGTTGGGTGTCCACAGTTACAATTCTATCTGGACACGTTTCCTACCCAAAAAGAGTCCTTCTATACCTGTGGGCCCCAGAGTGCACCTCTTTGGTGCCCACAACCAAACCAAGGAAGAGTCTGAGGAGCTAGTTCCTGATGCTGTCCTCTCTGGCTAACAGTGCAATATGGGACACGGAAGATCCTTTGTATTAGAGATTTCAGGCATCAGCAAACAGAAAAGGTGTGTGTGTGTGTGTGTGTGTGTGTGTGTGTGTGTGTGACACACGGAAGATCCTTTGATTTGGGATTTCAGGCATCAGCAAACAGAAAAGGTGTGTGTGTGTGTGTGTGTGTGTGTGTGTATGCGCGCGCATGCAGGAGAGACAAATGGTTCTTGATTTAAAGAACTGAAAAGCAGAACTCTTTACCCGATATTTCCAGAAAACAAAACAAAACATTATCTTAATAATTTTCTTAAGCTTTAGTTATATAAAATTTTCTTAAACTTTTGGAGCTGTTTACCAGTATTTCTCTGCATCCTCACCAGCATTTGGTATTGCTGCTATTTTTATTTTAGCCATTCTGACAGGTGTGTAGTGATAACTCAAGGTTTTAAATTTGCATTTCTCCAATAACTAATGATGTTGAACATCTTTTTGTGTGCTTATTTACTATTCATTACCCTTTTTGTTGAACTATCTAAGTTTTGTTGCCCATTTTCTAACTGAACTTTTTTACTGTTGAATTTTTTGAGTTCTTGATATATTCTAGATCTAGTTCATTGACAAATTTGTCATTTGAGAATATTTTCTCCCAGTATGTAACCTATCTTTTCATCTTCTTAATAAGGACTTTCACAGAGCAAAGTTCTTAAATTTTAATGAAGTCTAACTTATTAATTTTTTCTTCTAAAGATGATTTTGGTCCTAGATCCTGGAGATTTTCTCCTATGTTTTTTACTCAGAGTTTTATGTGTATGCTATACATTTAATTTCATGATCTACTTTTTTTTTTGGAGTTGGAGTCTCACTCACCCAGGCTGGAGTGCCGTGGCATGCTCATGGCCACTGCAACCTCGACCTGCTGGCTCAGACAATCCTTCTGCCTCAGCCTTCCAAGTAGCTGGAACTACAGGTGCACGCTACCATGCTCAGCTAGTTTTTTGATTTATTGTAGAGATGAGGTCTCACCAAATTGCCCAGGCTGGTCTCAAACCCCTGGGCTTAGGCAATCCTCTCACCTCAGCCTCCCAGAGTGCTGGGATTACAGGTTTGAGCCGTGCCCAGCCTCATGATCTAGTTTGAGTTAATATTTTATAAGGTGTAAGACTATGGTCCAGGCCAGGTGCAGGGGCTCATGCCTATAACCCCAGGGCTTTGGGAAGCCAAAGCGGAAGGACTGCTTGAGCCCAGGAGTTTGAGACCAGCCTGGGAAACATAGTGAGTGAGACCTCATCTCTACAGAAAATTAAAAAATTAGCCAAGCATGGTAGCACATGCCTATAGTCCCAGTTACTTGGGGGGCTGAGGCGGAAGGATCACGTAAGCCCAGGATGTCAAGGCTGCATGAGTTGTGATCATGTGATCATGCCACTACACTCTAGCCTGGATGACAGAGTGAGACTCTGACTCAAAAAACAAACAACCAAAAAAGACTTAGGTCCAGGTCATTTTTTACCTATGGATGTCTAACTGCCTTGGCCATCTGTTGAAAGGCTATTTTCCCTCCACTGTATTGAACTGCTTCTGTGTCAAAAATCATTTGGGTCAGGCAAAACCATAGGAGACAAAAAAGTTTAAAAAATCACTTGGGCATACTTCTGGTTGTGTTTATTCTGCTCTATTGATCTACTTGATGGGGTTTTGACAGATATTGTATTATCTTGTATATCAATTTGGGGAGAATTGACATCTTTACTATGCTGAATTGTCCCTTCCATGAACATAGTATATCTCTCCATTTAGATTATTTTTGATATCTCTCATATACATTATGTAGTTTTCAGCAATATAAGTCCTGTAATTTTATTTGTTTATATTTGATATATTTGTTTGATTGTAAATGGAACTGAATTTCTTATTATTCACCTATTCATTACTGGTGCATACAAATACAACAGAATTTTGTATGTTTATCTTGTGTTCGTAACCTTACTATATACTCATTTATTAGTCCTAGGAATTTTCTTGTACATTTCTAGGATTTTCTATACAATCATCTAATCTTATTAGAAATAGTTTTGCCTTTTTCTTTCTCATCTGTATGCCTTTTACTTCCTTTTCCTGCCTTACTGCACTGACTAAACTAGCAGCACTATATTGAATAAGTGCAGTGACAGTAGATAACCCTGCCTTGTTCCCCAACCACAGGCTTTCACTCTTAAATATGATGCTAGCTGTAGGTTTTTTTTTTTCATTAATCAGTATTTTTTATTATGGTTTTGTGAGGTACAGTTAAGGGTTAGGTGTACAATGACGTTTCATTCAGGCACCCTGTATATAAGAAATGTTTTCCCATCCCCCGACAGATATTTGCTACTATTAATCCCATCCCGCTAGCTGTAGGTTTTATGTAGATGCTCTTTTTTTTTTTTGAGTCGGAGTCTCAATTCTGTTACCCAGGCTGGAGTGTCATGGCATTCTCATGGCCACCGCAACCTTGACCTACTGGGCTCAGGTAGTCCATCCACCTCAACCTTCCAAGTAGCTGGAACCACAGCTACAACACCCTGGTAATTCTTGATTTACAGTAGAGAAGAGGTCTTGCCAAGTTGCCCAGGCTGGTCTCAAATCCTTGGGCTCAGGCAATCCTCTTGCCTCTGCCTCCCAAAATGCTGTGATTACAGGTGTGAACTACTACTGTGCACAGTTGACACTCTTTTCAAGTTGAGGAAGTTCCCCTTTAATCCTATAATACTGAGAGTTTTAAACATGAATGTCAGATTTTTCTCAAATGCTTTTTCTGCATTATATGATATAATCCTTTTTTTTTAGCCTGTCAATATGGTAGATGACATTGATTGATGTTTAAATATTTAATCAACCTTGCATTCCTGGAACAAACTCCACTTGGTCATGGTGTATAATTCTTTTTTATGTATTGCTCAATTCTATTTGCTACATTTTGTTTAACATTTTTGCATCTAAATTAATGAGGGATATTGGTTTGTAGTTTTTTTGGTACTGTCTTTGCCTGGTTTTGGTATCAGGGTAATACTAGCTTCATAAAATGAAATGGGAAGTTTTCCCTTCTATTTTCTGGAAGAGATTGTATAGAAATATTTTTTAAACATCTAGTAGAATTCTCTCATGAAATCATTTGGGCCTGGAGACTTCTCTTTGGAGAGATTTAAAGCTACAAATTCAATTTCTGAAAGTTATAGAAGTATTTTGTATTAAGAAATTATCTGGCCAGGCTCAGTGGCTCAGCCTGTAATTCCAGTGCTTTGGGAGGCTGAGGTGAGTGGATTGCCTGAGCCTGCAGGTTCGAGACCCGCCTGGGCAACTTGGCGAGACCTCATCTCTACAATAAATAAAAAATAAGCCAGGTGTGGTAGCATGGGCCTATAGTTCCAGCTACTGGGAAGGCTGAGGCGGAAGGATCGCTGGAGCCCAGCAAGTCGAGGCTGCAGTGGCTGGGAGCGGCCAATGCACTCCAGTCTGGGTGACAGAGTGAGACTCCAACTCAAAAAAAAAAAAAAAAAAAAAAAAGAAATTATCTATGAAATAACGTATTTCATATTAAGGAAGTTGTGCTAATTTGTGTTTTTGGATGAAGTGGTCCATTTCATCTAAGTTGAAGTTGTTAACTATATGTGTAGAGTTGTATGTACCATGCCCTTATATCTTTTTGATGGCTCTGAGATCTGTAGCAATATTCTTTGTTTCATTACTAACACTGTGTCTTTTTTTTTTTCCTGTTACTCTTGTTAGAGGTTTGTCCATTTCATTGACTTTTTTTCAAAGAGCCAGTAGTAATTTTTTTTCTTGTGTTTTTCTCTTTTCACTTTCAGTAGTTTCTGCTCTTACCTTTATTCCCTTCTTTCTGTTTGCTTTGGGTTTATTTTGCTCTTCTTTTTCTAGGCTCTTCAGTGAAAGCTTAGATTATTATTGTCTTAAGACGTTTTCTTTTTTCTAGCATGCATTTAGTGCTATAAATTGTCTTCTCAGCACTGTTTTACTGTGCCCCCCAAATTTTGATACGCTGTTATTTTCATTTTCATTCAGTTCAATGTACTTAATTCTCTTGCAACTTTCTCTTTGACCTATAGGTTATTTAGAATTTATGTTGCTTGTCTCTGTGTGTCTAAAATCTTCCTATTATCTTTTTGTTACTGACTTCTAGTTTGATTCTGTTGTGGTAACAGAACATAATATTGTATAATTTCAATTATCTTAAATTTATTTAGATTCATTTAATGGTACAAGATATGATCTTAGTACATATTCCATGGCACTTGAAAAGACTGTGTATTTTGCCATTGTTAGGGAAAGTGTTATAATACGTGTTGATTATTAGATCCTGTTGGTTGATGATGTTTAATTAAATACTTATTGATTATCTGTCTAGTTGTTCCATCCATTGTTGAAAGACAGGTGTTGAAATCTCCAATTTTTTTCTTTGCTCTGGAGTCTACTTTATCTAATATTATATAGCCACTTCTGTTTTTCTTTAATTGTTTGAATGATACAACTTTTTCCATCCTTTACTTTCAACCTCTGTTGAAAGTAAAAAATATAGCATCTATTGAAAATATTGAAATATAGCCTCTATTGCTATATTTGAAATGAGATTCTTGTAGATAACATAGAGTTGGGTCTTTTTTTCTAAGGTACTGTACTAATCTCTTTAATTGGTGTATTTAGACCATTTACATTTAATGTAATTATTGATATGTTACGGTTTAAGCCTGCCATTTTATTTTTTGTTTCCTCTTTGTTCTCTGTTTTTAATTCTGTTTTATTTTTCATGCCCTTCTGTGCTTTACTGAACATTTTTTAGAGTTTGATTTTGATTGCATCTTCATTGCAGAAGGTTATATTTACTGGGTAGAGAATTCTGGCTTAAAAGTTTTCTTTGAGCACTTGAAAAATATCATGTCTTTTTTTCCTGGTCTTCATGGTTTCTGTCATTCAAATAGTTTTTCTCCTATTTGTAAGGTATCACTTTCCTTGATTGCTTTCAAGATTTTTCTTTAATCTTTCATTTTCATAAGTTTAATATGTCTTAGCATGGATTTCTTATGGTTTATCCTACCAGGGGTTTGCTCAGTTTCTTGAATCTGTAGGTTTATGTCTCTCACCAAATTTGGGTAGTTTTCCAGTCATTATTTCCTCAAGTATTTTTTCAACCTGTTCTCTTTCTCCTCTCCTTCAGGGACTTCACAAAATGAATATTATGTCATTTGTTATAGGTCACAGGTCCTTGATGGTCTCTTTTTAACTTTAGTCTATTTCTTACCTTTTGCTTAAATTTTTATTATTGTCTCTGCTCAGAGATTCTTTCTGTTGTCCTCCCCTATTCTGTTTTTCTGCCCATTTACTGAACTTTCTATTTTGTTTACTGTAGTTTTTAGTTCTAAAATTTCCATCTGGTTCCTCTCTATATCTTCTTCCTCTTTGCTGACACTTCCTATTTCATTTTTTTCAAGTGTTTCAATTTCTCATTGAAACATTTTTATTGTTTCTCCTGTAAACTATTTGTTAGATAATTTTAACACCTTTGTCATCTCTGTGTAGGCATATATTGTCTTTTTTCATTCAATTTGAAATCTTTCTAGTTCTTGATATGATGAATGATTTTCATTTGAAACCTAGACATACTCATATTATGTTATGGGCATCTGGAACCTACTTAGTTTTTCTGTTTTTGCTGGCCTCTTCTGACATTGCTCTGGCAGAAGAAGGAAGGTGCTACACCTCATTACTGACAAATGCAAAAAATCTACATTCCTTACTCAGCCTGTATTGACACCCAAACAGAGAATGCTCTTGGTTACTGATAGGGATGGGTGGAAGTACAGGATCCTCTTATGGTCTCTCCTGACACCACAGTGGCGTGCCTCATTACTGGTTGATAGGGGTGAAAGTTTCAGTTACCTACTTAGCCCTCTCTGACACACCTGGTGGGGGAATGGGGGTGTCTTATTACAAACTGTGTGGGTGGAAGTCTGGGTTTCCTACTTGACCTTTGCTGGCATGGTTAGGAGTGGCAGCACAGTTTTCTCTGTAGTGCCTGACTGGAGTAAAGTAGATGCTGTCTAAAAGTTTTCTGTCTTGCTAGGCTGTCCCTTTCCTGGTCTGGGGACTAGAGACAGCAGGCTTTGGTTGGGACATTTTTTGGTCTGCCCTTACTGGTGTTTCAGGGTTCCTGGCTTCTTCAGCTCTAAGTGTGGGATACATGAGGCAAAAAGAAAGCCCAGGGAACTCACCACAATGTTATTCTTGTTTCTCGCTCTTATTATAAAGTTTCTGACAAAAAAGTATGATGCGAGTACCAACTATTTTCCCAGTGAATACATCATTGCACATAATGGGGTCAAGGAACTATCAGACAGGAGACCCAGGGTGCTTCCACATGGCCCTGCTGATTCCTACAGTTAAGAAAACAGGAGTACATCTCAGTCATCAAGGGTCCAGTAGTATCTCTTTAGTAGGCTAGGCCAAAATAACAAAGGGAATTGGATGCTTTGAAGCAGTTAAAAGAAACAGAGATACTGTTAACTTTCAACCTTACCCTGGCCTGAAATTCCATTCTTGTCCACCTCCAAACAGCATAGGGTGCAGAGGAGTAAGGTCACCGAGGCCTCGTACATAAAGTGCACCAATCCTGGGACCATAGAACTGGGAGGAAAAGTCAGTCATTAGTTCAACGAGAACTTTCCAAGGACCTGCTCTGTATACATGCTAAGTACTTAGAGGCACACAGAAGAAATACTCTGTAATGTGCAGTACTGATGCCTTTTTTTGGCCCCTCAGCTGTGCTGTCCATCACTGCTTTTGACATGCTGGAGTCACAAGCCTTCAGAGGCAGAGCAGAACCCCAGCCTAAGAGGCAGGGCTCTCCTTCCCAGTTCTGTGGTGGGCAGAGTTCCTCTGCACACCACATGACAGACTGTATAAAAGGAGAGAGGTTAAGCTGGGCTCGGTGGCTCAGCCTGTAATCCTGCGCCTTTGGGAGGCTGAAGTGAGTGGAATGCCTGAGCCCACGGGTTCGAGACCCGCCTGGGCAGGGAGACTTCATCTCTACAATAAGTCAAAAAACTAGCCGGGCGTGGTAGCACATGCCTGTAATTCCGGTTACTTGGAAGGCTGAGGTGGAAGGATCGCCAGAGCCCAACAGGTAGAGGCTGCGGTGGCCGGGAGCGGCCACTGCACTCCAGTCTGGGCGACAGAGTGACACTCCAACTCAAAAAATAAATAAATAAATAAATGGAGAGAGGTTAGAATCAGAGATTGCCAACGGCTTTTCCTGCACATGATTCTGTGTCTCCAATTGATATGATGTAAAGCTTTCAAGTGCCACAGTGCCAGGCCAGCACAAACAATCCCGTGGAAAATAGCTGAGGACTATGCTTCAAAATAGAGTACGAAAAATATTTCGGGCCCAAGTCAGCTGCCAGAAAGATGAGCAAAAGCTTCAGAAGGGTCTTTACTATTAGTTATTTTCCCCATACTTCACCTTAAAGAGTCACTAAATTTATGCTGAGGATTCACATTTTAAATCATGTTAGAGGAAGCAACAATTTCTTGAACCCACATCTTCTGTGCTGGGGGGTTCCATGTATGGCTGACACAGCCTCTGCATATGCTCTGCTGCTACAGAGACCACTTACTACCTGGCTAAGCCCTGCCTTGCATTCTTGCCTGAGACCTCAATGCTTCTCCCAGCTTTGCCTGCCCACCCTCCACCCATCCGCTATGGGCTGGATATCCTGTTATCCCTGTCACAGCACTTGTCAGTGGCATCCTAGCTGCTGTGGGTCTCCCCCACTTCTTAAAGCCGCTGAGTACAGGGATCCTGTGTGCCTCCTCTTAGCATCCCAGGGCCTTATCATGGTAGACAGCAAGGCTCACTGGATCAACAAGTGAATAATTGCTGGTGCTGCAGGCTTACTCTAAAAAGGTGGGCCTTTAAGTTATCAAGGTATCGTTCCCCACAGGAGGGAAGAAGGCAGCTGCAGACATACCTTATGCCCCACGATTGTAAGGAAGTCCACACCCAGGTCTTCCACATCCACACGCCTTTTCCCCAAGGCTTGTGCAGCATCTGTGTGCATCAGGATAGGAGGCAGCCCAGTGGCTGCCCGCTTCTGGTTTTGGGTTTTAACGCACTGACTGATTTCAGGGATGGGCTGATGGGAAAAACAAACGGTTGAGTATGTTGCTCTGAAGACTGAAAGACAGAAATAAGAGTAGTTAATGAGCACAGACAAAAAGCTACAAAACTGAATAGGGGAAAAGGAAAGGCCTAAGCGAGAAATATGAAATACCATTAGAGTCTAAGCCACTGCTCTTTCCCATGAGTTTGTCTTAAAAAGAAACAAAGTCCGATTCACCATGATGATGCCAGTCTCGTTATTGGCCAGCATGATGGTCACGAGGCGTGTGGTTGGGCGGACGGCCGCAAGGATGTCATCCACCTCTGCCCGCCCGCTCACCCTGGACACTGGGACAAAGGTGACCTCTGAGAAACAAAACACAAACACTGAGGTAAGCCACATAGATTAATTTCTCTTGAAATGTCTTTTAGATAGAGTTTAACAAAGCCATTTCCCACAATTATAAAAATAATTTATCATCAAAGTTCAGAAAACCATAAAGAAAAGAAGATAATCCCTCCATCATCACCTTGCCCAGAATTAATCAATGTCAGTTGTTTCAACCTAAATGTTTCTTTAACACAGCCTCAATTAATGAATTTGTTTCATGGAACCTACACGTCTTTCTGCTTCTACAGGGACTCAGAAGGAAGTCACACACAGGGATGAAGGCCTGCTCTCAGTTTGTATGCACCACGTATGGAACTATCACTCACTCAACACAGAGTCAGTGATATGAAGCCAGGCGCTGCTCCAGGCACTCAGCATCTCATTGCTGCAGATGGGAAATAAGGGAGGGGGGTGACTACATTGACTTTTTAGTTTAAAATGGTAACAAGTGTATCTGCTGCCCCCTCAAGGTCTCACTGAAATAAGAGAAGAGATAATTCTTTAAATACAAACCAAATCAAAACAATATCAAAAAATGGTATCATCTGTGGACAAGGAATTTTGAGGAATTCCTCAAAATACAGAACGATGATGGTATGAGATTAATAGGAGGGGGGAAGTCATTCTAAATACCTACAGGCAAATATGAAAGGATCCATTGGTCACCCAATGGTCACCCAAGTTCAGGGTGGACAGCATGAAAGGTAGGGCAGAAGAAGCTAGAAAAAGGGGAGGAGCCTGAGGCATCTGCTATAGCAGCGAACCCAAACCTTTCTGGCATTGGGGACTAATTTTGTGGAAGACAATTTTTCTATGAACTCAATGTGGGGGATGGTTTTGGAATGATTCAAGCACATTACATTTATTGTGCACTTTATTTCTATTATTATTATATTGTAATATATAGAAAAATGTAGCATACTGCCTCAGCTCCACCTGTTTATCAGGCATTAGATTCTCATAAGGAGCACACGACCTAGATCCCTCACATATGCAGTTCACAATAGGGTTCCAGCTCCTGTAAGAATCTAATGCTGTTGTTGATCTGATGGGAGGCGGAGCTCAGGTGGTAATGTGAGTGATGAGGAGTGGCTGTAAATACAGATGAAGCTTTGTTCACTCACCGACCACTTACCTCCTGCTGTGCAGCCTAATTGCTAACAGTCCACAGACTTGATAAGTGGCCCAGGGGATGGTGACCCCTGTGCTATAGGACTCAAAGAGGAAAAAAGGAAAGGCAACTCTGCTCAGTAGAAACACAGAGAAAAGGGGATAGGAGCTACCCAGCTTGCTAGTCACCATTCCTCCACCAACACAGTGTCCATAATGAGCCCTCTCTTGCAAGGAGACACCTCCAGGGAAAATGGATCTAGAACTGGAGATGAGCCCTCCCTGACTCCTGCTTCAAACAACAGAATGTGGCTGGGCACAGCAGTTCATGCCTGTAATCCCAACACTTTGGGAGACCAAAGTAGAATTGCCTGAGGCCAGGAGTTCAAGACCAGCCCAGGCAACATAGCAAGACTCCGTTTCTACAAACAAAACAAAACAAAACAAAACAAATCAGCTGGGCATGGTGACTGACACCTGTAGTCACAGCTACTCATGAGTTTGAGGAGGGAAGATCACATGAGCCAGGGAGTTTGAGGCTGCAGTAAACTATGATTGTGCCACTGCACTCCAGCATGGGTAACAAAACAAGACTCTGTCTCTAAAGAAAAAAAAAGCAATGGAGTACTTCACTCATCAATAAGGACAATCAAGGAGCCAAAGCCTGAGGAAGAACCAAGACAGACAGGTATAATGACTGACTCTAGATCACAAAGATATAACTCCAGGAACAGGAAAATTAAATAAAACTTCTAACTAGTATCCTCAGAGATATTCAAGATGATTTAGATTCTACAGAAAAATAATTACATATTCATTACACTGTAGATGTTCATTATCAGTAATTAAGAGCAAGCTGGGCTGGGTGTGGTGGCTCAACATGTAATCCCAGCACTTTAGGAAGCCAAGGAGAGAAGATTGCCTGAGCCTGGGGGTTCAAGACCAGCCTGGACAACTTGGTAAGACCTCGTCTCTACAATAAATCACAAAAACTAGCCGGGCTCGGTGGTGTGCATCTGTAGTTCCAGCTACTTGGATGGCTGAGGTGGAAGGATTGCCTGAACCCAGAAGGTCGAGGTTGCGGTGGCCGTGAGCATGCCACTGCACTCCAGTCTGGGCGACAGAGTGAGAATCCAACTCAAAAAAAAAAAAAAAGCACAAGCTGGTGGTTCCATGAGAGCAACAAGCTAAACCACAGGCCAACTAGTTTACCAGATTGATGGTAGCTAAGGGACAGTAGAGCCCTCCCAGGGTCAGAACAAACTCAAAAGATTGTTCATGGGGCCCCAATCTAATTAGATCAGACTTCAAGTAATGCCCTAGAACACTGTAAACCAGAGCAATCAGCCCACAATCAGTGGCAGATGGCTTAAGAGAGAAACCAGGGATAGGAACAATGAGAGTCTTGCTTAAACTACTACCATCTTAGGATGAATGTGAACAAGCCCAAGGTTGCACTCTGAAATGTGAAATCAGAAGCTTTACAATGCTGTGGAAATAGACTTCTGCAAGATACTCCACAAACCACCAACAGACAAGCAAGCAACAAAAACAAGCACCAGAGAGGGCAAGGGGAGTCACTATTCAGAGTCGTTACAATACATGACTTAAAGTGTACAGTTTTCAACAAAAAGTGACAAGACATAAAAATCAAAAAACCAAAACAGGAAAGTGTGGAAAAGCAAGCCAGAATAAAGGCAAGCAACAGGAACCATAAAATAGAATGAAAGAATGTTCTTTGCAGCAACATGGATGGAGCCGGAAATTGTCATCCTAGTAAACTGACTCAGAGACAGAAAACCAAACACTGCATGTTCTGATATGTGGGAGCTAAATGATCACCAAAATGGAAATTATAATAGACACTGGAGACATCAATAAGGGGGAATAGAAAAAGGGGGATTTGGCCAGGCTCGGTGGCTCAGCCTGTAATCCTAGTGCTTTGGAGGCTGAGGTGAGTGGATTGCCTGAGCAACTTGGTGAGACCTCATCTCTACAATACATCCAAAATTAGCTGGGTGTGGTAGTGCGTGCCTGTAGTTCCAGCTACTTGGAAGGCTGAGGCCAAAGGATCGCCGGAGCCCAGCAGGTCGAGGCTGCAGTGGCAGGGAGCGGCCACTGCACTCCAGTCTGGGTGACAGAGTGAGACTCCAACTCAAAAAAAAAAAAACGAAAAAAGGGGATTAGAGTTCAGAAACTACCTACGGGACACAAAGTCCACCATCTGGGGAATGGACCATCTGATGAGTGAGGAGAAAAGAAGAAAACGGAGAGGCAGACAGATTAGGATCAGTCCCCAGCAAAATCTTCCATGGCAAGCACCACAGACTGAAGTGAAAACAGCTACTTCCAGGTCTGTGAACTTTCCCATTTTTACGCTTCTTTCTGATTGGTGCATTTTCTAGCCTGCTGGTGTAGCTGCCCCACCAACTAATCAGCACAGTCCCGAGTACTAATAAACCTCTGGCCCCAGTGGCCTTTCCCTGGCAACTCACTTGCATTCCCTCTAAGAGCTGCAACATGCTTTCCTGAATAAGCCTCAACTTGCTCAACCTCTGGTGTTCAAGAGAGCTGTGACCTTCCTGAGAACCCAGGGTTCTCCGAGCAAGAGCTGAGGGCTGTAACACTCCTTGGGGCTTTACAGCTGTTGGCATCCCCAAGTTATCAGGTGCCACTGCATCCGCCTCTTGGGGTCCTCCAAACAAGAAAAACCGTAACTAGAGGAGCCAAGAGCTGTAGCACTCCTTGGGGTTTCATGGCTGTTGGCATCCTTGAGTTCTCAAGCACCACTGCATCCTCCTTTTGGGGTCCTCCAAACAAGAACAATAACTAGAGGAACCAAGATCTGTAACAATCCTTGAGGCTCTGTAGCTTTTGGCATCCCCACGTTCTCCAGCAAGGACGCCATGTGGACTTTAGGGCACCATAATGTCCTTGGTCGCCAAGTAGGACTCAGGCTGGCAACATGGAGACCCAATCCCCATCACTACACAATATGTTTACATAGCAAACATGCATGTGTACCCCTTGAACCAAAAAAAAAAAAAAGGCAAGCAAAAGAAACCACCTGTGACCATGCCTAAAGTAAAGAAAAAGTATGATGACAATGTCTAATCAAATAGAGAATTATCAATAATGAGTCATAAACTATAAAAAAGAACCAAATGGAAATTCTGGAGCTGAAAATACAATAACTGATATGAAAAATTCACTAGAGGGGCTCAATAGTAGATTGGAACTGGCAGAAAAAATAATTGGTGAAACTAAAAATAGATTTATAGAGAGATTATGCAACCCAAATATCAGAGAGACATCAGAGAGCAAAAAGAAGGAAAAATAAACAAACCTCAGAGAAATGAGGGACACCGTTAAGGGTACCAAATATGCAAAACAGGAGTAGCAGAAGGGCTGCAGCAAGATAAAGCAGTAAAAAAAAGTCTTTAGAGGCTGGGTCCAGTGGCTCACATCTATAATCTCAGCACTTTGGGAGGCTGAGGTGGGAGGATTGCTTGAGCCCTGGAGTTCAAGACCAGCCTAAACAACATAGTGAGACTTTGAGTCTACAAAAAATAAAAAAATTCGCCAGGCACGGTGGCATGCACTGTAGTCCCAGCTACTTGAGAGGCTTAGGCAGGAGGATCACTTGAGCCCAGGAATTCAAGGCTGTTGTGAGCTGTGATCTTGCCACTCACTCCAGCCTGGGCAACAGAGGAAGACTGTGACTCAAAAAAAAGAAAAGAAAAGAAAAGAAAACTTCCAAATGTGATGGAAAACATATAATCCACACATCCAATAAGCTCAATGAGTTTCAGGTAGGATAAACACAAAGACATTCATTCCCAGATACATGATAATAAAAATGTTT